GATGGAGAGCTATGTCTCTGTCTACCCCCAGCAAACCACTGTTAGGTAGAATGGGAGTAAGAACTACGCGGGCGTGGTTGGACGTGGGTTTGTCACGCTGCTACTGCCTACACAACGAGCCAACTGTTTTGGCGAGAGAGAAAAAACGAGACAGTTTGCTTACTGCTTAAGACATTCATAGGTGCGGTCTGGAGTACTTTGCACTTGCTTGTTCACAGTTGCTTTTGTTAGAAAAGTTGTTAGACACCAATAGACTCTGTGATCAAATGCAACTGTTTTCCTATTCTTTTTATGAATTAAAGTAATTAAAAGCCTCGACGTGTTCTTAAATATGTAGTTAATGTAGCCTATAGCAGCCCCTACGCGGAATAGATTTTGCGCTTTTGATGAGGAGACTGTGGACAACCTGGTCGCTAGGTGTATAGATGCGAGAGTAATAATTTGGGATTGCAGATGTTTGAGGGAGCAAAGCCAGATCAGCGAAAGCTCAAATGTTGGCTAGGATGCAAAAGATAAGGTGAAAGGAGGGAGCAAAAGTAAAAACGCCCGGTGGCTTTGCTACCCCACGTGGAGCAAAACCAACCATCGCTAGCAACACTGGATCATGTGAGATACTCTGAACTGTTTGACCAGGTTCCAGGGCTAAATATCGATATTCAATTATGCCGTGGCCCTTTATCAAGCCAAATTTCTAGCAGAGAAGGAGTATCTGCAAAGTCTTCGGAGACTGGAATGACCATTTATGGCCTAGTAACTGTCATCAGCTAGCTATATCCACCCACAGGTCGGGACGACCCGGGGCTCAAACATACATTCTTTGGCTGACCGTCGGGAAGCCCACTGCTCTACCCTTGAGTCACAAACCCGTTATCCCAACGGTTACGATCAGTAATACTTTGTGTCGTATAAAGATTGTTAATCGACCGTGTTACGGGCCGAGGCCGTCGTAAAACTACTGATATAATTTAAGATGCGGGGAAAGGTCATTAAGCCCGTAGCTTATTCACTTTCTCCAGTCAGCATCATTGAATGCGAACTTTAAACCTTTCCCGTATTGTGACCATTAGTAACTTTCAGTGATCCTGAATTGCATTAAATAAAACAGACGAAAATAATTCAGACCATCCGTTTTCTCTTTTACTCCTTAAGATAACCTTCCGCGTCCTCTGCGTAGACAATTTCGTGAAGAATGGTCAACTGCAGACCTTTGTAGAGAACCTGCAACCTCCGGAGTCGGTGACCAAGCAGCAATCAGAGGGCGCCGCCTTCGGAACTTCATTCCTGTCCCGCCACCCGGGGGCGCCCTACACCGTCGTAACTGACAGAGCTAAAAGACTGACAGGCACCGCTACTGTCAGCGTTCGGATTTTGGACGAGAATGACTGTGTGCCCGAATTCACCCAATCTCTTTACTCCTTCTCCGTGGACGAGAACGTGCCGGAGTTTAGTAAGCACTCCTCTGTCAAAAAACTCAGCGAACCAGTCGCAGGTCACCCCATTGGTACAATTAGGGCAGTGGATCGGGATCTAAATTCACGTCTCACCTATCAACTGCAAAGCAATCCTCTTGATGCCTTTGCCCTGGACGCCCAGACGGGTGTACTCTCCGTAGTCCGACCTTTTGATCGGGAGGCTCTCTTCTCCTCAACCTACGAGGGCATAGAAATAAGAAAACCGAAGG